GGGTCTCGCTCTTGCTTAAGCTGGTTTCAAACTCCTGACCTTGAGTGATCCGCCTGCCTTGGCCTCCCAGAGTGCTAGGATTATAGGCATGAGCCACCGCTCCCAGCCTAGTTTGAAAGTTTATTGAACTCCTCTCAAATTACACCACTGCAGGTTTTCTGTATTTTAAAACCAATGCATAAGATTCTATATTTATCCCTGTTAAATGTCAACTAGTTGGATTCCAGCCTGTCAAGATCCTTTTGGATTCTAATTTTGTCACTGAACTTTGCTATCGGGCTTTGTGGCATCCTTCTTGACCAGCCGAGAGTGGAGGTGACCTGCCTGGCATGGGGCACTGGCAGGCCCCAGAAGAGAAACAGAGGAAACATGAGAGGAAGGGCTGAAGGCAACAGACTTGGTGCAGAAGCAAAGGAAGGAAAACTCAGGCTGAGCAGGGAGAACAGAGAACTATTCAGAGGAGGGGCAACAGGGTGGCAGCAACGACTGCCCAGGGTGTGTTGATAAATGATAGGGTGAACATATGCTGTGATCTGTGTGTGATCTTAGGGAGGCTCTTCAACTGTGTTAAGTTATAAAAGCAAAGGGCAAGAGAATATAGTAGGATTCTTTTAATCATTTCTGGAAAGACATAGTGGTTTCCTTGATAGTGGCCTTCTCTGAGGAAAGGGAGCCAGAGGTTGAACAGAACAGCTTTAACTGCTATTTCTATTTTCTGTTTGGAGCTCTTCTTCCCATGTACCTGCATTGCTTTAAAACTGGTTCCAGACAGGCCTCACCTGTGCTATAGAATGCTAACATACCTGAGTGAGGAGGAACCTTGGCTAAGATCCTCCTAGGACTTGATAAGTTTTTAATCCAATAAACTCAAAAAGTACTGGCAATTTTGTGTAGTTTAGGGATTCCAAATGTTTAAATGTGTTCTACAGTGACAATTTGTTTTTTCAAAGAGGACCCACTTGCATTCATTTACTGTTTGGTCACTTACGATGCTGCCATGGTGGGCATTCTCATAAGGCACCCTCCTTGCCAGGCAGGTGGTCACTCTCCTCACTTTGCAAATAAGAAAGGCAGAAGGTAAGTGGTCATGACGAATTTCCAACACTAGGCACAGCAGTCCTCCCACAGGCAAAATTTAACAGCCTACACAATACCTTAAAAAAAGTTTTACATCAGTACACAATGAGCCAAATATTGTTTGTCTTAGTGTATTAAAATCCACTTCATAAAATGTGAGGGCTACATAAACCCAACACGAACTGAAAAATAAGGACAGTGTCCCCTTTCAAAGTGACACCCCAGAAGCCTCTCCAGACAGACACAAGTGTGCATGGAGAACTGTTTTCAGTTCAAGCTCAATGTACATCCTCATAGTTCTGCCTCCCTCCCTCACAGGTAAAAGACTTCAAACATTAACCTCTTTCCTTAATTATTAAAAATGACTAACATTTAGAAGACTGGTTCAACGAGGCTGCCTGTGAGACTCAGCTGGGAAGAAATATCAAAGCTCCAAGCCCACTTCTCAGAGAAGAGGTGTTTTTTAAGGCTCCAGGCCATTCTCACAGTGGCCTGGGTTGAGAAGGGTCGAGAGGGATTGAGAAGCATTGATTAAGACCTTGGTCATCTCTCTCCTACAACCTATGTAGCTCACAGACACTGTGCCTGTTTAGAACATCAACTCAATAGATACTTTGAGGAAACACATTTATGTTTTCTGTGTATTGAGCTGGGTTACATTTCACAGCTTACACACTTACACTTGCACTCTGGGAGACCGAGGTGGGAGGATCGCTTGAGCTCAGGAGTTCAAAGACCACCAGCCTGAGCAACAGTAAGACCCCGTCTCTACTAAAAACAGAAAAATTAGCCAGGTGCAGTGGCATGTGCCTGTAGTCTCAGCTACTTGGGGGGCTGAAGCAGGAGGATCACCTGAGCCCAGGAGTTTGAGGTTGCTGTGAGCTATGACTATGACACTGCACTCTAGCCAGGGCGGCAGAGCGAAGACTGTCAAGACAAAACAAAACAAACAAATAAAAAAACCAAAACAAAGAAACAAACAAAAAAACTTGACAGAGACAGGAGGTGGTCCTCCAAACCTAACATATAGACTATCCAACCCTTTACAAAAAAGCCTGCAGGATACTTTATGACCTTGGGCAATAACAGATTCAGGGGAACTCTAGGGACAAAAACCAGAATTCAAGTTACTGAGGAACATAAAAGAGTAATGGAGAGATAAGGCAGTTCTTTCATGATGTCTGGGTGCAAAGGAAGAGCTTCAAGGGGAGGAAGATGTTTGCTTACAGATGGAAGAGATGTGAGCGTTGTCAAATGCAGACAGGAGGAAGCCACTGGGAGGGAAGGAACGAAAATACAGGAAAAAGCTGTTACTGAGCAAGGCCTCTGTTAGAGTGGAGGAGGATCCAGGATCCAGAACACAGACAAAGGACAGGACACCACTTTTGAGGTAGCAAGAAGGCAGGAAAGGGTGGCTACAGACAAGCTTGTAAATCTGCAAGCATGAAGGTGAGGAATATCTCAATTTATGGCTTCTGTTTTCTCCAAGCCGTCTGAGGGCAGCCAGGCAGGAGTGGCAGATCAGGGATTTAAGGAGCAGAAGGAAGTTTTGAAATGTCTACAGCAAATGTGCTGACTACCGAGAAACACGGAAGGTGGAGCAGCCTCAGACACCCAGTTAATGTTGGAGACCACAAACGAGAGTTTCATTCATACAACCTGCACACTACAAGCCACCAGCATTTCCCAGAAAACGGAACATCTCTCCAAGACATTATATATTTTTATTTTTATTTATTTTTGAGACAGAGTCTCGCTTTGTTGCCCAGGCTAGAGTGAGTGCTGTGGCATCAGCCTGGCTCACAGCAACCTCAAACTCCTGGGCTCAAGCAATCCTCCTGCCTCAGCCTCCCAAGTAGCTGGGACTACAGGCATGCGCCACCATGCCTGGCTACATTTTTTCTGTATATATTAGTTGGCCAATTGATTTCTTTCTATTTATAGTAGAGATGGGGTCTCGCTCTTGCTCAGGCTGGTTTCGAACTCCTGAACTCAAGCTATCCGCCCACTTCGGCTTCCCAGAGTGCTAGGATTATAGGTGTGAGCCACCGTGCCCGGCCACTCCAAGACATTATAAGCTCTGATAGACGTTTAAAATGCTGTATTCCTTCTCCTCCTTTTGAAAAGAGCATTATTTAGACAGTGGTTAAGCACAGGCGCCAGAGTCAGAGACCTGGGTTAGAACCCACACTCTGTCACTGACCGGCTATGTAATTTTTTTTTTCTTTTTTGTTGTAACATTGCATCAGTTCTTTCACCAACTGGCTATGTAATTTTGTCTGAATTAATGTCAGTTACCTAAGTATAAAATGGGATATCACTACCTGCCTCAGTTATGAAGGTTAATTACATTAGATTTATAAAACACAATAGTCTAGTGAGTGGCAAGTGAACTGAGTCATAAATGGTAACTACATTATATTATTAGCACCAGCAGTATTTTGCTGCCTCACATTACTGGCAATGGCTCAGTTTAGTGGCAGAATGAAGTCCAGGGAGGAGATGGATATTCAGGACACTTCCATCTCGGCTGTATTACTAACCAAGTGACCTGGGCAGCATACTCTAGCTATCAAAAGTTTCCAACCTGTAGAATGAAAGGATTTAACTGGTCACTACAATACTTCCCAGATCAGGAGGCTGAGGCAGGAGGATCTCTGGAGTCCAGGAGTTGGAGGCTGCATGCCAGCCTGGGCAACAGAGCGAGACCCTGCCTCTTAAAAAATAAAAACACTCCCAAGGCCTTTCTCATTTTGATATAGGGCTAAGGACGCTCTGTACTGTGAAAATAAGGACTTTCAATGAACCACATTCCCTGCATTACAGCTCTGTGGTCACCAAGACTTGAGTCTGAATCTATTCTTACTGAGTGAACATGAGTTATCTAACATCTTTAAGCCTCGATTTACTCATCTAGAAAACAGTAAACAAATTGTAACCAACGGGATTGTAACGCTTTCACATAAAGCAGGTAAATCGGAGGCCTTAGCTCTCACCCCCGCCCCACTACTCGCTGCACCTGTCCCAGGTGACACCTGAGAACCGGCTTCCTGGGCGACTCGGATGCGAGGGTCCCGGACCTCGTTCAGACACAGGTGGCCAGTCATTGTCTTTCCGAATCACAAACACATTTAGGAGAACAAACGGGGGCTTGATTAAAAAGGCAAACTTTGGGGGTGTCATTGCACGGAAAAGGCAAACTTTGGGGGTGTTATTGCACGGAAAAGGCAAACTTTGGGGGCATTACTGCACGGAAAGGGCAAACTTTGGGGGTGTTACTGCACGGAAAAGCCCTCGCCCAAACACCCGGAGGCTAACTTCCCTCTTGGGTGACATGCGTTCGCGGACCTCCCCACGCCAGTCACCCGGGACCACTGCAGGTCCCAGGCGCAAACTCGGTGCCGGGACCGCAAGACGCCAACGGGGAAGCTCAGGCTTCGACACAAATGGGGCGCCTGGGCGTGGGCTGCTTCCCGCCCCCCGCGGGTCGCGGGCGTGCACGTGCGGCCCACGTCGTCCGGGGTCGGGGGTCGGGGCTGCCGGCCAGGAGGGCCGGGGTGGGGGCGCGGGGCGTGCGCCGGGGCCGGCCCGGTGGGCGCGGCTGACAGGACGGGGCCCGCGCCGCCTCGGCGTCGGAGCCCGGCTCACCTGGAAGTGCTCCTGGAAGCGGATGGGGAGGCTCTGCGCCATGGCTGGCGCGGGACCCCGGCGGCCGCGGCCACCACAGCGAAAGCGGCGGCCCCGGGCGCGCGCGGACCGGCGGCGGACGCGCAGGCGCACTGCGTGCTTCACAGCGGCCTCCTCCCTCCTCCTCCGCGAGCCCCTGCGCGGGATCCCTCCGCCTGCCCCGAGGGTCCGCGGAAAGTAGTCCGGCGCGCAGCCGCGCTTCTGCGCTGCGCTTGGTCGGCGCCCCGGGCGGGTGAGCGCGGGAAGGTGGGCGGGCCCCAGGCGTTGCTCTGGAAAGCGGTGTGCTGGTATGGGGCTGTCCTCCCAGGTGCCCAGGGCAGGTGTGTGCTGGCTGGGGCAGGGAGGGTGTAGGCTGCTCTCACCCGCTTCCCTTAGTTCAAGGGTTTTCAGGAGAGGTAAACCAAGTCATGGGGCTGCCCTTGCCTGGAGCCTTCCACGTGTGGAGAGGGCCCGTGGTGGTAGGTCTGCCTCCGACTCTGAACGGTTGAGTTCAGGGCCACTTTTCATTCAGGCACAGGTGAGACGAAAACTTGGAAAGGGGTCTTGGAAGTGCAGTTGTGCGCTGCAAACCGACGTTTCAGTCAACAGAGGATGTGACGTCCTGCTGTAAGATGGTAACGGAACTGGAAAACTCCCATCCTCTAGTGACATCTTAGCAAAACGGCATTACCTTTTTCCTGTTTAGATACACAAATGCTTACCGTTGTGTCCCAGGTGCCTGCAGCATTCAGAACGATGACGTGCTGTGACAGGTCTGCGGCCTGGGAGCGACAGGCCACACCGCACAGCCTGGCCACACCACCTACCATGGGCTAGGGTAGGTGGTTAAGTCACTCTGAAGCTGGCACGACCACAACGTATTTCTCAGAATGTATCCTGTTACTAAGTGATGGCGTGTGACTGTGTGTTACCGATGTGTTTCTGTGTGAGGCTTAGCCACCCCTTCTTTAGGAAGCATTTTTCCTGGCTCATTGGGTTTCTAGAGAACACTGTGTCACAATGCCAACGCTAAGAGTCCACAAAGATCATGTAGCAGCAGATAACCCACGGAAGAGCGGCGAGGGTCACCCACATTGCCTGTGGTGGCAGCGGGTTGGAGCTAGATCCCACACCTGGTTTGCCCAGCAGCCTGTTGTTTTTCTGAGGCACCATTTGAAGGCGCGTTTTGCATGCAGACAATTACGCTGCATAAAAGGTACCTGTCAAGAAAGGGAAGCCCTTGGCGTTCAGTACATACGCGCCCCCCCACAAAACTGATAGCTTTTCTACTGCTTCACATCTACTGCTTTTCTACTGCTTAAAATCACTGGTGATTTTAAGAAATATGAACGGTCCACTGTGAATAACATAGTGATGGTGCAATTATTTGTGCAATAGCTTGACCATCTATCTAGTAGCCAAAAATTTGTTAAGGAATAGAACAGGCTGTTCAGTGTCAAATCTCTTTTCCAGTACTAGCCAAGACCTTTGCAGCCTGCCATTTCAACATTGTGTGGCCTCGTCCCCTAAACATAGAGCAGATTTTAGCTATGGGTAACATTACATTTCCCAAATCTCTCTATTTAGGCAATAATGACTATAACCCCAAGTATTCTTTTTTTTTTTTAACCCCAAGTATTCTTTACCCCAACATTACATAAATCTTTTAGTAGTAATAGTATCATTCCCTAAATCACCTCTCCTGGGTCTTTGGGGAGGGATTAAAACTAAAAATATATACCTTAAAAGGAAGAATTTTAAGAAAATTACAGTTAAGCAAAACGACGGGATTGTTAATAAGTTAGGACCTCACCCATTGTCAATACTTGTAAAGGAACTAAATGATAAGACTTTAAAAGGATTTTAATATCCTTGCCACTTGGGGGTAACTTGCCAAGTAATCCTGAAAAAAAGCTGTCAATCCTTTGTGCTGATTTCTTATCTTTATAATAGAAATGGTAAGCTCCGACAACTCAGTAAGACCAACAACAAAATAGAGAAATGGGCAGAGATATAGGAACAAATAAGTCATAAAAGAAATACAGTTTGCTGTCCAAATGGGCAGAGATATAGGAACAAATAAGTCATAAAAGAAGTACAGTTTGCTGTCCATATCTGTGGTTTCTACATCTGAAGATTGAGCTAACCACAAGTGGAAAATGTAGTTAGGCCTGCAATGGTTTTATCTGTACCGAAAATGAACAGGCTTTTTTCCTTGTCATTATTCCCTAAACAATACAGCATAACTACTATTTGTGTAGTGTTTACATTGCGTCAGGTATTGTTAAGTAACCTAGAGATGATTTAGATGGACGGGTGTGCAAAGGTTACATGCAAACACCACACCCCTTTATATAAGGGGCTTGAGCATCCCCAGATTTTGGTGTGGGAGGTCCTGGGACCTGTCTCAGGTGCTGAGGGATGACCGCACAACTGATTCTTTTTTTTTTGAGACAGAGTCTCGCTTTGTTGCCCAGGCTGCAGTGAGTGCCGTAGCTCACAGCAACCTGCAACTCCTGGGCTCCAGCGATCCTCCTGCCTCAGCCTCCCGAGTAGCTGGGACTACAGGCATGCACCACCATGCCCGGCTAATTTTTTCTATATATATTAGTTGGCCAATTAATTTCTTTCTATTTATAGTAGAGACGGGGTCTCGCTCTTGCTCAGGCTGGTTTTGAACTCCTGACCTCGAGCAATCTGCCCGCCTCAGCCTTCCAGAGTGCTAGGATTACAGGTGTGAGCCACTTCGCCCAGCCTGATTCTTAAACATGAAAAAAATGCCCAACTTTACTCATAAGCAAAAGGCAAATTAAAATACACTGATTGACTGAGCACAATGACTCACACCTGTAATCCTAGCACTCTGGGAGGCCGAGGCAGGAGGATTGCTTGATGTCAGGAGTTTGAGACCAGCCTGAGCAAGAGCAAGATCCTGTCTCTACTAAAAATATAAAAATTAGCTGGGCATGGTGGTATTCCTGTAGTCTGAGCTACTCGGGAGGCTGAGGCAGGAGGATTGCTTGAGCCCAGGAGTTTGAGGCTGCCATGACCTAGGCTGACGCCATGGCACTCTAGCCCAGGTGACAAAAAATAATAAAATAAATAAATAAATAAAATAAAATACTGATTATGTATGTTGTATAGTATAAATACTTTATTTTTTAAAACCTATTAGATCAGTAAAAGTCAAAACTTTGATAACACTGTGTTGACAATGGTGTAAAGAGGGCAATTTGGTGATATTTATGCATGTACATGTTAGTATTCTACCTAGGGTATCTGTCCTACTGTTAATTCTTGCAGACCTCCATCCTATAAATAAAATTCCAAGGAAAATGAGCAGGTCAAGGTATAAAAAAATTAATAATAACCACTCCAAGAAACAAGGTACCACAAGCAAGAAGCAAGAGAACCAAGAGACAGAGACTAACCCATAAAGATTGAGATAATGAAATTATCACAGACTTGAAATTCCTATCGCTAGTATTTCTGAAGAGCTAAACATGAAGCTTAAAATACATGTGGGAAAAAAATAAATGCACAAAACTTAAAACTATAAGGAATCACCAAGCAGATTTGAAAAAGAACAAAATATTAATAGAAATCCTTGAGAAATGCAATAGAGTATAGCCTTGACATAACCTTATAAGTGGGTCCAAAGCATAGAATCGTGTTGTCGCAAGGTAGATAAAAAGAGACTAGAGGAAGGGCAAGGGTGGGAACTCTATCAGCCAGAATCCAGTCAGAGACTCTCTTAGTTCTCTTTGTGATGCTATAAGTGCCATAGACTCAGTAATTTATAAATAACAGAAACTTATTTTTCACAGTTATGGAGGCTGGGAAGTTGAAGATCACATGCCAGTAGATTAGGCGTCTGGTGAGGGGCTGCCCACAGATGGCAGCTCCTTGCAGTGTCCTCACATGGTAGCAAATGCGGAAGGGACCACTCATACCCTCAAGCCCTTTTTATGGCACGGATCCCTTTCACAAAGGCAGAGCCCTCATGGCCTAATCACCTTCTGAAACACCCACCTCCTAACACTTGTGCTGAGGATTAAGTTTCAACATGAACGTTGGAGGGGACACAAAGATTCAAACCACAGAAAAGACAGAAACCACATGGTTGTTTGAACAGAGTTGAATATACACAGTAGTTAACAGGAAATAAAGTTGTTAACGAGGCAACTGGATGGATAAAAAGAGAACCCCAAACTATGACGTGGGAAGCAGCTCCTACCCCTAGAACGTAGGGATGAATGGAAAGAGGCTGGGTTTATCACAGCTCAGAGGGAAGGCTCTGCAGAGCGGGGATTCAGACCTCTAGGGAGGGTGTTGGCCAGGGGAGCTGGGGTCTCTGAGCCCGGAGGAGGGGTCCCCTGGGGATGGAACCTAGACCTCTGGGAAGGGTCCGTACAGGACTTGCACATGCACCACAGATGAGGGCCAGGTGTGGAGCTGAGGGAAGACCTCTGAGGAGGGCACTGGGCACGGGAGGCTCAGACACAGACCTCTGAGCAGAGCCATATTGAGGTTCTACAAGTCTTGGACAAACGTCCAACTGGACCCGGCTTCTGTGGGAAGAACGTGCTACTGCCTGCGGAAGAAGCGTGGCTGGGCGCAGGAGCAGGGCCCGCGGCCGCCCTCCACCGACCCGGTGTGAGCCTGCCGGAGACTACCTCGCAACGCAGAAATGTGGTTTTTAGAGTCTCAGCCCCAGCACCAAAAGGAGTTTCTAGAGGTAGGAAGGGAGAATAGACACCACTGAATGGGTGAAAGACAACATTGAATAACTGGTGCCGGAAACAACATGTTATATCTAAATTCCAGTTCTCATGAGACTTTCCTATAGATAAAACAAAAGAGTCCATGGGCCGGGCATGGTGGCTCACACCTGTAATCCTAGCACTCTAGGAGGCTGAGGCGGGAGGATTGCTTGAGGTCAGGAGTTTGAGACTAGCCTGAGCAAGAGCAAGACCCTGTCTCAGCAAAAAATAGAAAAATTAGCCAGGCATGGTGGTGTTCACCTGTAGTCCCAGTTACTCGGGAGTCTGAGGCAGGAGGATCGCTTAAGCTCAGGAGTTTGAGGTTGCTGTGAGCTAGGCTGACGCCACAGCTCACTAGCCCAGGAGACAGAGCAAGATTCTCTCAAAAAACAAAACAAAACAAAGAAAAACAAATATCATGCCACTCTGTGACCCACTAAAGTTGACACAAAAAGTTAACCATCACAAGTATCAAGAAATTTATGGAAATATTTTTACATATTTTTACATGTGTACATGCTACAACATGTACACAGGTACATACACATATATAATATATATACATAATCATATAATATATACACTACTGGTAAACATCATAGTTTACCCTTGAACTATACACGTTTGAACTGTGTGGATCCACTTATTAATATGTGTAGAATTTTTTCAATAAATATATTAAAAAATTGTTTGGATATTTGTGACAATTTGAAAAAACTTGCAGATGAACTGTGTAGCCTAGACATATAGAAAAAACTAAGAAAAAGGTATGTCATGACTGCATAAAATATATGTAGATACTAGTCTATTTTATCCTTTACTACCATAAAATATACCCAAATCTGTTGTAAAATGCTAAAATTTATCAATAACACACACAGACACTTACAGACTATATGTGGTGCCGTTCGAAGTTGGGAGAAATGTAAACAAATATAAAGATGCTGTATTAAATCATAACTGCATAAACTGACTATAGCACACACCATCTGCTGCTGTAATTTCATAGTCTCCTCCTGTTGCTACTGGGATGAGCTCAACGGCTGCAAGTAACTGCTCACAAGGCCGTGTGACACCAATCATCACGTCAGCAGCTCCTCTCTCCAGCAAAGTGTGTGTCACAGGAATACATGATCTCTCACAGTTCTCGTGTATTTCTCATCGTGTTTAGTGCAATACTGTAAACCTTTAATAACACCATGAGACCCATACAAAGTGCCACTAGTGATGCTGGAAGTGCTCCCAAGAAGAAGAGTTATGACATGACATGAAAAAAGTATGACTGGCCGGGCGCGGTGGCTCACGCCTGTAATCCTAGCACTCTGGGAGGCTGAGGCCGGGGGATCACTCAAGGGCAGGAGTTCGAAACCAGCTTGAGCAAGAGCGAGACCCTGTCTCTACTAAAAATAGAAAGAAATTAATTGACCAACTAAAAATATATATACACAAAAAAATTAGCCGGGCATGGTGGCACATGCCTGTAGTCCCAGCTACTTGGGAGGCTGAGGCAGGAGGATTGCTTGAGCCCAGGAGATTGAGGTTGCTGTGAGCTAGGCTGACGCCACGGCACTCACTCTAGCCTGGGCAACAGAGTGAGACTCTGTCTCAAAAAAAAAAAAAAAAAGAAAAGAAAAAGAAAAAATATGACTAGCAAAGAAAAAAAAAAGAATGAAGACAAAATCACCTCAGTATCAAAAAGAGAACAGGGATTATCACTCCAGCTCCTGAAGGCATCAAAGGGGTAAGGAAATGCTACAAACAACTAAACAAACATAATTTGACAACTTAGATGAAATGGACCAATTTCTTGTAAAACACAAATTATCACCACCAACCTAGGATGAAACAGATAATCTGCATAGTTATATAACCTTTAAAGATGCTGAATTTGTAGTTAAATAATTCTTCCTTCTTTTAGAGATAGGGTCTTGCTATGTTCCCCGTGCTGGCCTCAAAATCCTGTGCAATCCTCCTGCCTCAGCCTCTCTTGTAGCTAGGACTACAGGTGAAAGCCACCATGTCCAGTTACAAATTCTTAAAATTGAAATCTCCAGTCCCAGATGGTTTCATGAGAGAATTCTACCAATTGTTTAAAGAATTGCCACCAATTCTGTACAATCTCTTTCAGATAATAGAGGAGGAATCACTTCCAAATTTATTTCATTAAGTTAGTTAGTATTACCCTGACACAAAAGCAAGACAAACAATACAAAAAGAAAGAAAGAAAACTATAAGCCATTATCACTCATGAATATGCATGCAAAAATTCTTAACAGGATATTATAAATGGAATTTAACAATATATTAAAATAATTATACACTGGCCAGGTGCAGTGACTGATGCCTGTAACCTAGTACTTTGGGAGGCTGAGGCAGGAAGAGCGCTTGAGGCCAGGAGTT